TTTCTAAGGGGCAGCGCGGATCGCGAGCCTGCGATTGGTGACTCAACTGTAGGCATGGATCGCCGCAAATCAGACGTGCGGAGTGTCTGAAGCTTCTTGGCGAGGTCCTTTGCTGAGATTACCGCAGGCGTGGGACGCTGAGGGGCAGACCTTGCATGTCACCCAAGGGTCTGCAGAGTCTCTTCGTCCCAACCACCGCCACCACGAAGGAATCCAGCTCAAGCGGCCACAAATGATGGCGCTCGCTCCACAAGACGTCGAGAGGAATCCTATCGCGTCGCAGACGGTTGAGAAAGGATCTGGCTTGGAGAGAGCGGGCAGCGATCAGACTGCGAACGACGCTCCATCGAGAACAGAGCGCTCTCATGAGAAGGGCCGCACACCATCGCCTGGCATTTCGGCTGCTCACGGGGCCTGGTACAAGACACACGAAGATGGTACCAAGATCATCACATTTGCCGGCGAAGATGACAAGGACAATCCACGAAATTGGTCTCGTGGGAAAAAGTGGTACTTGACTCTACTGTGTTCTTGGCTCAACATCCTGGTTGCTTCTCAAGCTAGCGCTTACTCTACAGGCCAGAAACAAATCCAGCAGGAGTTCGGCATCAGCAACGAGCTTTCCATCGCAGGCTTGTCGCTCTACGTGCTCGGCTTTGCGGTCGGACCGATGGTGGTGGCGCCACTATCGGAGACTTTCGGACGACGAAGGATATACATCTGGTGTTGGGCCCTGTTTGTCCTTCTACAATTCGGAGTGGCGTTTGCACCCAACGCGCCCGTGATCTTCGTCTTTCGCTTCTTGACTGGATTCTTTAGCAGTCCTCCGCTCGCTAACACGGGAGGGGTGATTTCGGACCTGTTCGCCCGAGACGAATCTGGCGTGCCGATGAGCGTCTATGTCTTTGGCTCTTGCATCGGCCCTCCCTTCGGCAATGTGTATGCCGGCTTCATCGCACAGCAGCTAGGCTGGAGATGGACGCACTACCTCACCAGTCTGCTCATCATGGGGGTGCACTGGTTCCTGATCGTTTTCACGCTCACGGAGACGAGGCACAACATCATCTTGGCCAGAAAAGCGCAGGCCATCCGCAAAACCACGGGCGACGAGTCCTACGTCTCGACGCATGGAGACGAGCGAAAGCCTATCTTCACCTTGATCAAGACATCCTTGGCGCGACCTATCCTCTTCCTCTTCACCGAGCCAATCACCGCTTTTGGTAGCATCTGGAACGGGCTTCTATATGGTCTCATCTTTCTTTTCAATGATGCCTTCACCATCGTATTCGGTCCGGGCGATGGCTACAATATCCAGCATTCCGGCCTCGTCGAGCTTACGTTCGTGGCCTTCATCATCGGCGAGGCTTTGGGCCTGGCGCTGTACCCTTGGACCCAAGAGCGATTCTACCAGCGCGCAATCAAGAAAGCAGGACAGAGTGTCCCCGAAGCTCGAATGGCGGGAGGCACGATTGGGTGCTGTCTGCTTCCGGTGGGCCTCTTCATCTTCGCATGGACGTGCTACCCGTCCATCTCACCAGTGGTGCCCCTCATCGGGGCGGCCGTCTTTGGTCTCGGCTTCTTCTTTGTGCTATTTGGCATCTTGTCCTGGACAGTCGATTCCTACAGGGAATACTCTGCTAGTGCGCTAGGCGCAGTGGTTCTCGTCCGCAACATCTTTGGCGCGGCTTTACCTTTGGCCGGCGCTCCCATGTACGAGAAGTGAGTTGTTGCGCGAAACGAGATTAGGTAGGTTGACTCGTCTGAATCGCGCTGCATCTTACCTACTTCGACAGCCTCGGAAGACATTGGGCGACGACTTTGGTCGCCTGTCTGGGCATTCCACTCATCCCGTGAGCAGTCTCCCCCGCGCATGGTCGGACAGGGCTGCTCTGACACCCTTTCAACCCTATCATCATAGCGTGTCCTGGTTCTTCTACGCCAAGGGTGATCTAATCCGCAAGCGCTCTCCTTGGGCTGCAAGTCATTTTGCGGACAATGCAGATGCACCACACTAGGCACGACTGAAGGGCCATTCTGCTTCTGCACACAATCTCAATTCAGCCATATTTCGTTTCTTCTCATTGCAATGCGTACTCATCCTTCCGTGTCCGTCCCTTTCCGCTCTCCAGCTGCGGGCCTCGTGAAATGCGCGTGTGCACGTTCTTGAGCAGCCTCGAGAGATGTTGAGCGGGCCTGGCGAATGGGCTTGGAAGCGTGTCCAGGAGCTTGGC